GGGGGGGGGTGAGGGAGGGTTGGAGGGGGGTGTCTGCGCGTGAGGCAGAGACACGTCTTTGTGGTCACAGTGACTCAGATCTGTTCTTCCACACTGACACTTTTAACACTGACTGGAAATTATTTTTTGGAGTTGTCCCCAGTACTGATGTGGACCATGTCCCCAGAACTCATCTGACCATGTCCCCAGTACCAATCTGGACCATGACTCCAGGACTGATCTGGACCATGTCTCCAGTACTGATGTGGACCATGTTCTCAAGTACTGATGTGCACCATGTCCCCAGTACCGATCTCAACTATGTCCCCAGTACCGATGAATCGAGCTCAAGGAGAGAGAGACCAGATGAACACTCTCTCTGCCTTCTCTGTACAATCTGATTGGTTTGTCACAGATTACACTGTTTATTTAGATTAGATTAGATTAGATTAGATTAGTTTGGATTAGATTAGTTTGGATTAGTTTGGATTAGATTAGTTTGGATTAGTTTGGATTAGATTAGTTTGGATTAGTTTGGATTAGATTAGTTTGGATTAGATTAGATTAGTTTGGATTAGTTTGGATTAGATTAGATTAGTTTGGATTAGTTTGGATTAGATTAGTTTGGATTAGTTTGGATTAGATTAGATTAGATTAGTTTGGATTAGTTTGGATTAGATTAGTTTGGATTAGATAGATTAGATTAGATTAGATTAGTTTGGATTACATTAGATTACCTTACCCTACCTTACATACACATTCAATTTCTACTTCCTTTTCGGAGTCATGAGCTCAGCTGTCATTGGTTCATTGACATTCACACTAACATTCACACCTGTCTGTTACCACTTCTTGCTGTAAGGCAAGATCACCAACCACTCTCCCACCGTGTTGCCCGTGTGTGTTTATGTTCCTGTATCTTGCCCCGTGTACAAACCTGAACTTTGCGTGTACTTCATTTCCAAATACATTGCATATATTGCATTGTTCTGCTCAGGGAAGTGTTTTGAAAATACACCAAAGATGAGAGCCAAACAAACCCACCACAGATTTCCTCTCAGTCTCTGTCTGTTCTGCAGTGAGAAGGCGATGTGCTAACACTTGAACTTCTATCAGGATTTCTTCATTAAAAACATGTTTGTTTTTCTATATTTAGTAAATCAGTTCCACTTCTATTTTGGGCCCTGACATTTGTTTTATCTTCTGTGTGATGTCACAGATGAACACACGCTTCTGATTCGTCCCCGCTGCTTTTGGAACCGTCGACAGGATTTCAACAAATATTGAACATTGTGTAATGGTGAGTATTTCCAGTCCTCTGTTCTAAAAATGTAAATATCAATTTATTTATATATTTTTTATTTATATTTTCATCCTACCGTATATGAATGTGTGTTTTTTGGTTTGTTTTTTGAGATGGTTCTGGTGACGTGTGGTTAAATTTTGTCCTAAATTCAAAGCCTTTGGAAGAAAACCAGTTTTTCTTGAACTGCAGTTCCTCTTTATACCAACAGATGCTGCTGCTGTGGAGAAAAATTACATTTTAAACTCAGACTGACTGTAATCTTCAATTTGAACTTTTTTCCACAGGTTCATCGATGATGACGTCCACCCAGGCCTTGGTGCTTGTCCTGCTGCTGTCCTGGGGAGACGGAGTGAGGAATGGTGAGTGTTTTAGATTAGATTAGATTAGATTGGATTAGAGTAGATTAGATTAGAGTAGATTAGAGTAGATTAGAGTAGAGTAGATTAGATTGGATTAGATTATATTCGATTAGACTAGATTAGGTTAGACTAGACTAGATTAGGTTAGGTTAGTTTGGATTACATCAGACTAGATTAGGTTAGTTTGGATTAGATTAGGTTAGTTTGGATTAGATTAGACTAGATTAGGTTAGTTTGGATTAGATTAGACTAGATTAGGTTAGATTAGATTAGACTAGACTAGATGGGATTAGTTTAGATTAGATTGTATTAGACTAGATTAGGTTAGTTTGGATTAGATTAGACTAGATTAGGTTAGTTTGGATTAGATTAGACTAGATTAGGTTAGTTTGGATTAGATTAGACTAGATTAGGTTAGTTTGGATTAGATTAGACTAGATTAGGTTAGTTTGGATTAGACTAGACTAGGTTAGATTAGGTTAGATTGGATTGGATTAGATAAAGATGAGAACTTTAAGACAAAAAGCCCATTGATTTGGATGTTGTTTTTTTTTTTTTTTTAGAGGGCCTGATGGAACCATGTGCAAATATCCAGACCAACGACTCCGTGGTGCTTTTGGGGTCACCCGTGAGCGCCACCTGTGTCATCACTGATGAGTGCCTGAGGGTGATTGGACACACTGTTCACATGGAGTGGCACCTCAACGAGGAACTCGTTCCCGGCAGCTTGGTGACCAATGAGAGTGACGGGATTTCTAAGGTTGTCATACCCAGCTTCAACCACAGCAGGGCGTTTCTTACCTGCTGTATCCAGGCGACCCCCCCCCCCCGGGGGGGGGGGGGGAGTGGAGATCAGAGCCGGCTGTAAGAGACACGTTGTTACCCATGACTTTTTTAGCTTGAGATCGTGTTAGCTTGACATGTTGAGTTTTTTATTCTTCATGGTGAACAAATATAAAAGTCAAAAAGTTCTGAGAATTTCATCTTGACTCAGAGATAATTAAATTTTTTTTTTTTAATTACAGTTCCACCAGAACCTGCGAAGAACCTCAGCTGTCAAACAAACCTCTCCACATCCATCACCATGACCTGCCGCTGGATCCCAGCGCAGCAGGACACACATCTGCGTACAGAGTACAGCCTCAACACCATGATATGGTAACACACACTTCACCACGTACTGTGAGGTAATACTGTGTACCTGAGGCTGTGTCCTCACACACTGTGGTTCCGTCGTGTCAGGGACTCCACCAAGTACCACACCTACCGGCTGCCCGCAGACGTGGGCCACTACGTTATCCCTCGCCCCGACTTTGTGTTATTCTCAGAAATGGAAATATATGTGAAGGCCGTGAACGAACTGGGAGAGACCGCTTCAGCGCCCCTCACTTTAGAACCCATGAGTGTAGGTAAGTATTTCTTCAGCTGGGCCTCAAGAAATGGTGATTGAAATATACATATACATATATGTGTGTATACGTATGTATATGTTTATACATATATGTTATACGCATATATATGTATATATTTATACATATATGTTATACGCATATATATGTATATATTTATACATATATGTTATACGCATATATATGTATATATTTATACATATATGTTATACGCATATATATGTATATTAACCTAAATTTGTTTGACCGCCTTAATTAATTTACATATAATATATGTATACATATATACATATTTGTGTGTACATATATAAACATATATTTATCCATGTATATGTATACGTATATATATATTATATGTATATTAATTAGGGCTGTCAAACACAGTGATTAATCTGAAAACTACAGGCTGTTAATAGTGACAGATCTGTCTTTGATTACTCTTAAGTAATCGCAATTAATCGTGATTAATTGAGATAAATCAACATACCTAAACTATATAACAATTAACTTTCAATTCATTTTCATGGCCTTAATATATGTATGTGTGTGTGTGTGTGTGTGTGTGTGTGTGTAAATGTGTTCACTGGGTTTCAGCCAAATTCGATCCACCAAACATTGTAAAGGTTGTAGCTGTGCCTAAGCGGCTGGGCTGCCTGCAGCTGCACTGGACCCTGTCCCCGGACCAGTCCTGGATGCAGATCCATCGCTTTATCCTGGAAGTCCAGATCTGGACCACGGACAGCGGTCAACAGGGTGAACGGACGGTGAGTGGAAATCAATACCCCGTCGATGTCAACACTGCTCAGAGTCCTTGATTACCTTTGGACAGAACTACAAGAGGTCCGTGACCCCCAGGGGTCAACGGAAGTACTGCGGGGGGGACTTCTTGCATGACTGGACCTGAACATTTGTTTCTGTCAATGCTGATGAGTAATGTTAGCTGGGGTTGTGCAGTGGTTGGATTTTTGCCTCCTATTGAAAAGGTTCAACGTTCGATGCCACCTCCTCTCTACTCATTGTACCATTAAATGTTTAAATAAGAACATATACGTATCAACCTTCAATATCCTATCCTACCCTTTGTCTGACTGGGACCCTGGTCCACTCTGGTCCCCTGTGTCTGGTTCGTGTTTCAGATCCTACCGAGGAAAGCTTCTCCCACCCGTCCTTTGGACCTGTGTCGTCTGTTCCACGGGACTCTGTATTTTTTCCGACTTCGAGTCCAGTACAAGCGCTCGACTCCGTGGAGCGAGTGGAGCAGCAGGCGGTCTGGGATTACCTTGGAAACTGGTGAGGCTCCGGTCGATTCAGGGCGACACGGTCGGTCTGTCCGACCATCCGAGAACCGTCGGCTCTCCGTCTATTTTCTGCTCTTTTCAATACATGCTAACGTCGCGTTCCTGCGGCGCCGCTCTGACGTACGGGCTGAATTGATGGACTGAACTTTTGCCTCACGCTCTGGCAGTAAATCCATACACCTGCCTCGGGCAGAGAAAGTTTTACTTTAACAACAGGGGGGGGAGAGAAACGGGGGGGGGGCTCATGACGCGCCGCAGCACTGACAGCCGTCTGTCTGTTTCCAGCTCCCACCGGACGCCTGGACACGTGGACCAAGCTTTCAGAGGACCACGTGCAGAAACTGTACTTGTTTTGGAAGGTGTGTACTTCCCACGCCTGTCTCAGTGCCGTGGTTGTTTCCTGTGAGCGAGCGCGTGAGGCCGGCCGCTCTGATGACTCCTCTCTCTCTCTCTCTCTCTCTCTCGTTTCTGCTGTAGCCATCAAAACAGTTCCGTGCCAACAGCCAGAACGTGTCGTACGTCGTCTCGGCGCAAAAACTGACCAAAAAGAAGCTGAAGCTGTGCCATACGCTGGGGAATTACTGCAGTTTTCTGCTTCCCGGGAAAGCAAAGAAAATATACCTGCAAGCTGTGAACGCTGCTGGGAAATCTTTGCCCACGGAGATTCTGATTTTGCAACAAAAAGGTAACAAAAAAAATAATAGAAAGAAACGAAATCTCCTGCAGTAAAGTCTGAACGTTAGCTTGACAAAGAAGGAGCCCAGTCAATAGAAAACCAATGAACAACAACGCTGTTTCACACCGGAGATAAAAATTTTATAAAATGACTGGAGGCAAATTAAATAAAATCCTTATTTCCAAAAGTAACAGATTTTTTTATGTATACATTTTTCTTTTGGTTTTGGGAAAAGAAAAAAAAAAAGTTTTATTTAAGTTTGATTCAGAATTTAAATTTTGACTTACTAACTTTGCTTCTCTGCTCCTGTGGGGTCACACAGAGGTCAAATCTTGGTCCAGTTTTTTTTTTTTTTTTTTTTTTTGCCTCTCTATTCTGCCCCCTTGAACCATCGTAGCTTAGCACTATTTATGGTTTCACCGATATGCAGATGACATACTGATATATGTCACAGTGAAACTGGGGAGAAATAATAATTTTCTTCACTTAAATCAGTACTTCTCAAATAGTGGGGCGAGCCCCCCTTTGGGGGGCTCG